TATCACTTATGACAAAACATAATTTTGCCTTTCGACACAAATTATTCCCCATAATTATGTGATTGTCCCGAATGCTGTTATTAATTCATTTCATCTCTACTACTGCAGGCGCTAAAACAGTTGTAATGACAGGTGTACAGAGACATCTGAGAAATAAATGCCTTCATCGAGACGTCTGTCTGTCTCTCTGAGAAAATGATCCTAGACTGGTTTGATCGCAACGGTTGTTGATGTATGTCACAACATCGATAGTGGTTGTTCAGTGATAACATGTTTGAATTTTCAAACTGCTTATAAGAGAAGTTCCGCTTCCAATCTCTTCGATGCCACCATAACGGCAGTACTAGCAGTAGTAACATTCACCTCACTAACAGTTTAATGTCAAACTAGTTAATAATAAAAGCCGAGGATCTTTGGTAAAAAAAAATTAAAAAAATCTCCAAGGCGAATTGGGGTATAGTTTCTATTTATGGCCCATAGATCATAAGATAGGTGTTTATTATGTGAGTAAATGGATTCCAGTAGCTGTTCCCACGACTCAATTTCGCGGCGAGAGTGTAATATTTTTCACCTTAAGTTGCTAATTAGTACCATCGATCACTTTCCCCACCCTGGTGTCTCCAAAATGCCTTTAAAAATCAACCGTGCGGAGCAAAACGAGCCAAGTTCATTTTATCTTGATGCCCCCCCCCCCCCCTCTACCATAGTTATATCATCTGCAGTCTCAATAGTCCATAACAGATTCACCAATCTCACCAATCTCGAGAATTTTTTGTGGTTGTTGTTTAATCCCAGCAGACCCGAATGCACCCTGACATTTTAGTGCTCATACATAAATGGATAGGGATATTAACGAATGAATAATCAATGTCCAGGCTGGTAGTTGTAAACAAAATATGTCCAAACTCAATACTTGAAGTACTGATTTTGGGCCGCTTGGAGAATTTTACTTGGTACAGTAACTTTTCGTACAATGTGTCCAATGATGTGCGAATGAATAACCAAACTTGTCCCAATATTTGCAGAAATAAAACCTTCGTAGACAATGAAACTAATTATTTTTCTAAGTCTAGCAGAACGTTTTGAGCGGCCAAAACGATGACGTACACGTGATAATTCCTGCTTATGATGTCGGACGAAAATAGTGCAACTCTTAAAAACTAATAAAACAGACTGATCTTTGTGAGCCTCTGGTAGAGGACTGTGTGTAGAATAATTTCTATACTTAGACTGAGTTAAGTTTGTTAAGAATGTTAAGTTTGATTGTTTACAGGTATTGAAATTGATAAAGTGAACCAAGGAAGCAGTTGCATGAACTGACCGACAAAAGACGGTGCCTTTTCCCTTCCTTTTCAATTATATCGATTCATAACGTTAAACCTTTAATTCCAAGATGTACAGTATAAACCAGTTTATCCGTCATAAAAGTCTGTGATTCATGACCTTTTGTGCGGTATCAAAGCTTACCCTAAAAGCAATTTTAGTTCTACATATTTTAATTAAAGGCTTAGACAACTTCAAAGCAACGTTGAGTCACTTACAACGATTCATCAGCACCTAACATAACTACTGAGTAGCTACGTTTCATTTTAGTTGTTAGCAATTAAAGTATACCGCTGCCAAAGCTAGCAAAATTTTTACGGTTGATTCTATCAGTGTTCACACTGTTTGCTACATGTAAGCAATCACAAGTACATGACTATCTACAGCGTAGCACGAAGTTCAGTTTGTATCACGGTAGTTTTGGAGGTCTTACCTGTGATCAATAACATATATGGGTCCTACTTCAACAAACTCCATCTTTCGCGTATTGAAAGTCACATGCAGACGCCATGCAGCCGAAATAATATAGACTACAATAGCTATTTTGCACGCACGTACGTACAAATAATTAACATTACCGAAGGAAATAAAAATAATGTCTGCGCTATAACACAGTTCCAGATGACAAATGGGCGATATTTTACAAAAATATCACTCGATTGTATCCGCACATTGTACGATTTTACACCTAATTCAGATTAATGGTATACACTTTGTCAAAAATCAGACTGAAAGTAAAATAAAGATAACCAGACACTTTTCCTTTTCAGGCACAATTTCCATGATTTCACTACGGGTACGCTTTGTTAATTAAACTCGGAACAACTGGCAGCAGTCAAATGGAAATGGTCACAATAAAATCTTAGTCATTACTCATTGCTAAAATATATTGAAAAAGCTCACCAACTGGTTACAAGTAGGGGAGACCAGGGCTAGTTGGCCCAGTTAGACACTTTTAGCCTTGTAGAGCCAACTAGGAATGAGTTAGAGTAACAAAACCGGTTTTAAAGTAAGCCCCATGAACTAAGCTACGTATGCAACGTCATTATTTTTCAAATATAATGCCAGATGGCTCACAATTTGACAAAAAACGCAGTTGACGTCAGGGGGGCCACGGGGCAAGTTGGCCCCAGGGTCGGGGCAAGTTGGCCCCCTATACAAAAATGAAGTAAATTTACCATGTAAACGCCTTGAATTACATTATTATACATTTTTAATTTATTAAATTGATTTTTGAGATTCTTTGATGAATAAATAGTTCAAATGAGGCAGATTTATTGAGGTTTCCGTACGTCACGTTGTAGGGGGGTCTATGTGTTGCAAGAACCAAAATATCTATCAACAGAATTTGTTTTGTTTTAATAAAGAATAAATTAATGATGGTATAAAGCAGGTTTTTAATGAAAGAAAACGAATAATAAACTTTCGTTTAAAAAGAAAGGAACAAATTCAGTTTTAAACCATCGAGTTTGTTTTAACAATGGTCTCTAGCTCTGTTGCGCGCAAAGGTTTGTGGGTAATATGATGGTCCAACTTGCCCCGAGTCAAGGGGGCCAACTAGCCCCGGGTGCACACTTTTTATTTTAAAGGATGACAGCCATTTATGGTGCTAGAATGAGCAACGATGATACATCTCTGTAAAACTTGAAACAATGAGCTTCAGTTTGATGCCCTATACATATATTATATTTGATCAAAAGCCTATGAAAATAGATTTTTAAATCTCTTTTAAAACAAAACTACTTTTAGGTGCAAAAATCGTTTATTTCGACTCACCGCTTAAGTAAAACTTTTTAACGTCCGACACTTCCCTAGCATTGTAGGCTACAGTCACTTTACAAGAGTATGTGGCCAATTTTTTTACCCCGTAGTTACTTTTTCATAAATTGACGGGGGGCCAACTTACCCCGGGGTTCAACTAGCCCCGGTCTCCCCTATCAGTTAGAAACCGTTCAGCGGTCAGTCATTTCGGCGTTTCTAGTAATGTGACGAAGTTCAACGTATTTTATATAATTATTTTAATTGAAATTTTAATTTGAAGACACGATCGGGTAGGCCTATATATAATTTTCATACCTACCATTGTTTAACATAATATGGAACATTCGTTCCAAATGAAATTAGCCTACTCTTATGACAGCATTTGATCATTCACAATGGCAGTCCCCCAAAAATCTTACGTTTTGCAGAGATAGGCATACTGTATTCTCGTTATGACACAAATGGATGATCATTATTAAATGGAAGGTTTTGTTGGACACTGTAAAATGTGTCATCGTGTTCTCGATTTATTCAATTATAATCCTCTTGGGTATGGAAATCAAAACAAGTAAAAACAATATACATGTATTTTCAAACGATAAGTAATGTGCTCTCTTAAATATAATCATATTTATTTTCTGCAATATTGAAGATAAGTAAGTACTGGAATGGTTTGCCTGGCGATCAATACTTTGGTGGTGGGGGAGATAATATGTTTTTTCTATCAAATTCTTTATTTGAATGAACGCTTCTTCGAAGATAGTAGTTTTAATGACCCAAATACCAGCGTTGCTATGGTAGTTATAATGCCATCATGTGCTACGTGTACTTCAGGGTCACGGTCGAAATGTCGAGGGGGGAAACAGGCCGATTGGGGAGGTTCACTAACAACCGCCAAGGGGTTCACATTCGATAAGTCCAATTTGATGTCCTGTCACAGGCTCTAAGTTACGTCTTAATTGATTTTGGAATGGTTTCCTAACGTTAAAGGTAATTGTCCTTTGACATGCAAAAACCCGTCCCTAGGTCGTTGAGTATTACATTTCAAGTATGTTTCAGTATGTTTAGTCTACAATCCACTCCTCCTTAACTAGCACTTGAAATCAAATTCCAAATGAATGTCAAGTCTTAATTAATACACCCCCCAAAAAATATAAAGGGGTTTTATTCCACAGCCAAATAGTGACCCTAACTGACCTGACAAGGTAACTTTTTTACACTTAAAATAGTCGACTTACCAGTACCTCCTGGTGCTGCACGATCACTTACGTGAAGGCTGCTATCAATTACTTTTGTTGTTCATCTGCTGGTCGTCTCGGTTTCATAGCCGTGATGACAGGATCACTCATTGGTTTATCAACTTATCCCTCTCTACCCTCGGCGAGAATCTCGGGATATAGGCCTATATATACTATAATGCACATTAATTCCACACGGCATCCTTCTTGACATTAATTTGCGGTTGCTGAATGTGACGTTGACGAAGTAGTAGGTTACACATATTCATTTGGCAATTTTGCCACTCTTCCTTTTGTACACATGGTTCCTATCTGCTAATGGAACAAAGTGGCATGTGAAATTCAACGCTTAAATGGGTTTTGAAGGTTATGAGGTGAAATACTAATGTTCTGAAAGATAGAACTGCTCTCGGAAACCAAAGTGTATTTAGTTGGGTACATTGATACAGTGTAGGCTACTTATCGCATGTTCTCTTGTAAAAAGTTGGAGCATGAGTAAGGAGGTTGCATGTCAAAAACTTTTCAACTGTTGTGTAACGTAGGCGCACTTGGATGAATCTTAAGCAGAAAAATTCGAAATAGTAACCTATGAATTTGATTATTGTTTGACAGCTTCCTGTTGTACTGCAAGAGAATAGTACCTGTCGTGTAACAAGTATTCTGTTACTTGTGACTTACTTTGAGTCCTCCATACTTCTATCCACCATGACCCTCAATTGCGCCTTTATTAGGAAAACAATTTTGTGGAAAACAGTGATAATGTGCCATCCACTCATATGCTTCTGTGACCCCTGTACCATGATCCTTTGCCTCAGTAGACAGTAACGAGCTGTACGTACCATAAGCTGTGGGCGATGGGTGTGAATGCAGACGTCGGTCTGCTCCCTTAATTTAAAGCTAAACGATCAAAACTTTTCTTGGCACGTCTTTGTGCTGCTGAATCTCTTCACCCAGCTGCTCAATTAAGCTGATTTAAAAGCCCCGGTCTCTTGAGGATAAATTCAATATACGGATGTGATAGATGGGGTTTTCCGCTGTAAATTATCCTGTATATGAATTTTTTTAACTGGACAGCTCGGTAAAATGTTTGAACTTGTGCCCCTTTCCCCACTTTAAGCAAAATTCTGGACACAACCAGTGTCAAATTATAATAGGCCTACATAAAACTTCTGACTAAAAGCCTCCACCCTCAATTCTGTAAAGGGTACAAAAAAAGCTTACATGAGTGTTCTACTGCAAAATGTCATATGCACTGTAGGTGACTTTTATCACGCAGTCTTTATGCCCCGGCAGGTAACAGATCAATTAACCCATCGAGGGCATTCTCATATTTCTTGCAACCCCTACATGCACGCTGCCTGTATTTTTTTTTGTACCAGTTGCAGGATGACCTCATGATTGCATGGTGACACCGTAATAAAAAACTTTCTCGTTTTGAACGCAATTTTACCGAGATTGGTTTCATCATATACCGCTAACGATATAGTTAATACCGGTAGGTGATACTTGAAATTATGCACGGATGAACATTTTGTCGTCGGTGCTCGCACTGTAGATAGATCACGATGGAGAGCTTCAGTGAATGGCCCCATTCAGAATGAGAAGAGCCAAGTCCTAGCTAGGTCACGACCTAAATATGGCGGACCTACATGAAAGGAAAACCGCTTAATCGTGTAATGGTCTCTCCACCTTTCACACGCCTCTCCACGCGTCGTCCCTGCAGGGGCACAATAATTAGATTTCGTCTCAATGCAACCGGTCGAGGCGTGTGAGAGGCGGAGAGACCATTACAGTATTAAGCGGTATTCCTTTCATGTAGGTCAGCCATATTTAGGCCGTGGCCAAGCTAGCACTCCGCTCTTCTCATTCTGAGTGGTCCCCATGAATCTGTTGGACCTTTTTTGTACGCGCTGTACCGCATTACGTGACGGTTTACAAGCGCGTCTAATCTCTTGCATGCTGGAGTGAAATGAACCATTTACCAGAATATGAGGCATGGTACGTTGGTTGTACAGGTACATTGGTCGATGTACATTGTCTTGTCCCATATAAGCCTTGATGTCTTAATCATCCAGTGTTCGTCGGCTGTTTTAATGTCTGACGTGCTTTATCTAGCATCCCATCATTTTGTAAAAGAAACTAAAGCCCTGAGAAACCATTCATTTCATCTGCTGTCAACAATGATGAAGGACTCGCCAAGTTTAGCTTTCACATTTAATTTGTCTACCAACATATTGAAAGGTGGGATTGAAAGCAGATTATCTTCAAACATGCAAAGGGCTTTCTCTTTTGTATAGTTAGTGTGTGTGTGTGTGTGTGTGTGTGTGTGTGTGTGTACATATTTCCTTGGATATACTTAGGATCTATCAAAGGTTCAGACCAAATACTCGTATTTAGCCTTTTAGTATTTCAAGTTGAGAATGAAGGAAAAGCACCACTACATATATGATATTGTTTTCAAAAGTGCCTCGTTGACTACAATAATTATTATCGGCACTGCCAAGACAACCTTATTTGTCAGCATTAGTCTCTTCTCACCTTTTTTTTTTTTTTTTTTTTGTTTTTACACTGTATCTGCATTAACATGGCGTGAAACAAAAAGAGATGTGTTAAAAAAGCCGAGGTTATCTTGCAAAAAATGTCGTGGAAAAGCTTTTAGTTTCATTTTCCGCAGCCAGAGTGACAGAGCGTAAATAAGTGTATTATGATATCGGTTTTCATCCATCATGTTCGTGGCAAACCCGAGTCCTAATCATAACATTGTGCGGTGTCATCCATAAGTTTAATGGTTTTCTGCTCCCCCGTCATCCTATTGACGGTTGTAAATGGACCATCGTCTGATATATCATGTTGTATTTCTCCCATTTATTGATAAATGTGATAGACGAGGCTTAATGCAAAATAATTACCACTAGATTAATCAGCTGTTGAGTGCAGGGAAGAGCCTGTTGCGTAGTTGGCTAAGTAAAGCCAATGGATCAATCGTGTTAAGTTGGGTTCTTCTATGACAGAAAAAAAACAGAACATTAGTACACGTGATACCCACTCACTCTTGTTCGAATTCGTAGATTCAAGCCATGTAATCATCCTTGAGATTTCAGTACAGGGTGACATAAGACCAAAATGACCGTCTATTTATCTAGAGACATATCTGTGAATATCTGTGGAAAATCAATCTGTCGCCCTGGTAGAGGGTAGGGAAAGTCCACCAGCCGAGTAAATCTCTCACTACAGTGTATCTACAATGTATCTGAGCAATATCATCGACAAACCTTAAGTACAGATTGAAATCATATGTATAAATAAATCGCCTTGTTCTTTAAAGGCTCGGTTGCACAGTATGGAGTCTACGCTTACCTTAACTTAACATGTGTTAATATTAGTTTACTCATTTTTCTGTCAAAAGGCCCGACTTTTACTTCCGGGGTTTAATCCTGGATGATCAAACGCTATTTGAAATATGCGGCATGAATTTCTGAACTAAATAACACTAAAAATACTTTTAGGGTAGCCAAAATGAAGGCATCCCATGCTTTTACTTGTATTTCTTCATCAAAGGAGCTGGTTCATTTTAAGTGTTCAATCAAGGCAATTAACCAGGATCAACAGAGAACATAAACACACCAGTACATGTATATCCGTTGGTAAAAAATAGTGTCCCCTCCTCCAGTTCCAAGTGCTTTTGTTTAAAATGATCACCTTACAGGTGTAAATAGTTATAAACAGCGCTTTTTATTCCAGATACCATATCTAACATGTTAGGATAACAATAGGATAATTTATTCCAGTAATTTAGGTCACCGGCCCATATTACACTTTACAATGTATATTAAGATAACCACATGTAGTAACACATGTACCTGTACATGTAGTATGACAAAAAATTATTATACAAGTGTAACAAACATCTCATCACTGCTAGTAATACAAAATAAGAACATGGTGCAATGGTATAACAGAAACATAAGCCAACAATTAATATGTAATGAGACAAACAATAGGACATCATACACACAATTACATCATTAAGCAATATCTTAATATCTAGGGTAATAGCATTAACTCTTTTGCAATGCACTCTTGTTTTCATTTTGTAAACCTCTAAAATCATGTTTCTCTTATATCCGCGTGAACTAGAAAAGCAGCTACTCTGCGGATCAGTGCTGCAACAACTGTAGACATGATTTCTACTTATATTTTGTCTGACACATTTTTTTCTACTCCGTATGTTTGGTAACCACTTTTCTCTCAAATCGTAATAAAACGGGCATTCTAGAAAGAAGTGTTTTCTGTTTCAACCACATCTACATCACAACACCTACACAGTCGCATATTTCGGTTTAATCCAAGGTGTCTTCCCTTTTCAATCATGAGTGAGTGATTTGAACATCGAAACTTAGCAAGAGCTTTTCTATGGTGAGTCTTATCGACCACCCTTAAGTAATTTGTCAAAAATAAGGTTTTGCTTATACAGTCGATATGCATCTAACTTACAGCTTTGTGCTTACTCATCTGACCTGTGTCTTTGCATCGTTGCTTGAATTCATTTAGAAATCCTATTTCATTTTCAATACCCTGAGAAAACCAAACTATACCTAACCCATATGAGAATAGAACATTTTAAAAAATTTTGGCCCAACAGTCTTTATCCCTTACTGCCATGCTATAGTATATATATATATATATATATATATATATATATATATATATATATATATATATATATATATATATATATATATATATATATATAACACACATTAATGAGCCTATTTTCTGGTGATTTCAGAATCTCAAACCAATATTTTATAATTTAAACTAAGCGTTGAGATCGTACCGTATTTCTACCTAACTCACCCCTTGCTGCTGCATTTGGAGTACTTCTGCCCAGGCGCAATAAAATTTGCAGAGCTTATTTTGGACTATTTCGCAATCATGACCTGTGTGAAACCCCCAAACTTCAGATCCATAATTCAAGATAGGCAATATCTTTTTATTAAACAGTTTAACTCAGGTTTCTAGATCAATTTCTCCAAATCCATACATATGTTTCTTAAGAATACATAATGCCTTTGAAGCTTACTCTGCCAAATTTTTCTGCGCCTGAGACCAAATACATGTACTTTTAGTTGTGAATGTAACTCCAATACATTTATATTTTGATGTCACTACAATTTCTTTCCCGAGGTAGGTCCATTTTTCATAGTGCCGTAAAAATCCACCATTTCTGAATACAATTATTTTTGTCTTGGACATATTTACACTTAACTTCCATTTTTTGCAGTACATTTCCAATTATTTATTTTTCTTTGCATGCTTATAGCTGTGTCTGCAGGCAAAACTAGATCATCTGCAAACAATACGCGCGCGAGTTCTGTAAGCCCAATGATGCCACCAGTGTCATGGTCAGTTTTTAATTTTTGGGTAAGATCATTTATAAAAAGTGAGAAGAGAAAGGGAGATAACTGGGAACCTTGTCTAACACCCATTTCACATTCAAAATAATCTGTTACATATCCTTCTCTACCAAACGACACACATGGTTTCTCTGTCTCATACATCCTCTGTAATACCCTGTACGTTTTTCCCTGTACATCATATGAAATTATTTTATATTTCAAGCCACCCCTCCATACCCAGTCAAACGCCTTTTGTAAATTAACAAAAGTGCAATTAAAACGGCCACCTATTTTTGATAAATATTTACGTATAAGTGTATCTAAAATAAATATATTATCGATGTTGAATAAGATTTTCGAAAACCTGCTTGCACCTCATTAATGATTTCATTTTTCTCTGCCCATGCATTTAATTATCTAACATGTTTAACGGTACAGTAAAAACACAAATAGGGGTCAAGATATCCATTTCTCATGCCAATTGTTCAAATTTATAGCATGTACCCCCTCAAATCCGATGTTTCACTGTGGTTTCCACAGAGGTAAAAAATGTTCAATAAATTGAAATGACACCACCAAATGTCACCAAATTTACACACAATAAGCATTAGGATGTGCTTCTTAAAGGTCACGTGTCTCCAGTCCATGCCATAGCTCCTCAGTTGGGTTTGAGGGGGTACATGTATTTTTTATAAATTTGAATAAGTGGTATAAAATATGGATATCTTCACCCCAGTTTTGTATTTCCTGTACCAATGAGCATGCCAGACATGGTATCTGGAATAAAAAGCACTGTTTATAACAATTTACACTTGTGATAATTCGTAAAAAAAAAAGCACATGGAATTAGTGGTGGGACAACCTTTTTGCCCAGTGTGTAGTTTAAGCCACGTCCATTGTTCAGATTTTATGGCCTATTTGAAATGTACTCCAAGTGTTGCCTGCGGGGGTGTGAGCATAGCGACGTCATTAATGATGTTCATTCGAACGATCGATCGATGTACGATGTTCATTCAAGAAATTGGTGCATTATACGTGTGCAGTTAGGCAATTATCTCGATAAAAGTGCTAGCAAACACATAATTTAAGCCACGCCCGAGCCCTTGTTCAGATTCTACAGCCTAAATGAGCTCCTAATGTTTCCAGCAGCGTTCTGAGCACTTTGGGACAAGCAGTGAGACTACATGTACAATTTAAGAAATATCAGAGTATTGTCCTCATCTACTATTAATTTTGGTATCCGGTGGTCTGCATGTACTACCGTGTGTCGTAATTACGTATTGAGGCAAAGACAAGCAGAGGGGTAACTCAGAAACTGGAATTTCAACTCTGGTACATTCTGAGGGCACTTGGGATTGCATGTCATCAGGACGGCGTGATTGTGGAATTCGGCTTCACAGTTTCCCGGTGATGTCGTCCCTTGATTACAGCTGCTGGGACTGGAGGGAGAAAAACGGAATGCGTTAGGTGTGACAGAAGACAACAGTCGTAGTTAGGTGGCATTTATAAAGTTTTCGGTGATGATGCAACATCCTATGTTTTTTCATTCGGCTAAAATAAGGAAAGCGCCTGTTTCTACCTGGATCGGCGAAAAATCATTTTAAACTAAACTAACCCATTTAAAGAAGTAAATGTAACCAATTGCTAATTCTAACCCTTATGTGCAGCACTGGCTTGTTGCGATGAGCTTACCTGCAAGCTTTCACTTGCACGACCTGGATATATTCTCCAGTACAGTCAGGTTTTGACTGCATTGGCCGCCATACGATGTCTTGGCCGCCGACAACTTCTGTTACAGTATCGTCATCACCAGGACAATGGTAGAAGCTAAAACTATCATACATATTTCTCTCTTTTTGGGCGACTTGATTGAATTTATATGTAAATGCAGCTTTAAAAGGCACACCTTACTATAATGCATAAATCACCCCCAGTGCCTTTAAGTGGCAACCTCGAATTCAGTGGGAGTTCGTTATCGGAGTTAACAAGAACTTTTAGATATTATGAATGACATTCGACTTCTACTGGAACACAGGCATGTAGATTAATTGGTGCATTTAGTTAAGTTGATCCTTTGAAAATTTTGGTTATTACACATACATGTACAGTAAAAGACTAATAACTATTTCAATTAAAATTTAATTAAATTTCATTTTGTCAGACTGACTGCAGTGTATTCCGCCAGTATTGCGCAAATATCCACCTACCCTTCACAGCATCTATTTCTGTCGCTGACTAGCCCACCACCACCAGCTCGTCGTTTGCGTTTCCTTATAGGAACCACTTTGATATAGCCAGTCGTCAGACCAAGACTTTCCCTAGACATGGACAAGATAGGCAACTTTGTGCCGTACTTGGCAATGTCCGATTCAGCTAAGGTTTCCCGGGTGACAAAAATCCCTGGAATCGTATTGTAGATATCAGAGACATTATATATTGGCCGACAGTAAGTTCCTTCTTGATTGCAAACGCCTGGGCGTGCTACAGGTGGATCGTCAGTTGGTCGCTTTTTTGGTGACGCAGTTGACGACACAGCGGGCGACATAGTTGACGACGTTTGCGGGCACCAACAGTATGGCCAATACCGCTTGAAGTGGCTTGAGGAAGTACCTTGCAGCATGGTCATGACAGTGCGGCACCACCATTCAGCCTGCTGTTGGCCATTGCAAAATAAGCCAACATCAGACCTGTAGCATCCTATGTCTACGTTTCCAACGCAGAACACTAGTGACAGTGCAATAAGATGCCAAGTGAGATCCATGCTCCCAAATGGAAGAGTATATTGCTTTGCTCTCTGTAGAGTTCCGTATCTTTACGTGTGATTCATGGATAAGAGGGAAGGCAACGTAAACGTGTATAATTCCTCTCCCTTGTAGTCATGTTTGTACACACACACTGTACATTTGCATCTTAATATCCGCATTAAAACACCACATGGGATGCATAATTAAATGGTGTTTTAAAGCATTTTATGTTAACTTACAAAGAATGACTGAAAAATGAACAAAAACTGTGTGAAGCGTGATAAAGCCTAATTAATTCGCGGAAGGATATGCTACAATTATTCACTCCAGCGCTTTTGCTATTTTTACAAATATCTCTAAGTGTTCGCTAAAAGTATTTAAAATTAAACCGGAAACTAAAACTATCGTTAGAAAAAAGCCCACAAATGAAACGTGTTACTGTAGCCGTTCCAAGAGGATCCAGAATTTTGATAAGGGGATGGGGGCACAAGGATATTAGTAGACGAAGACAATTGTACCGTATCAAGTAGGGCAAATTTTGTCTCTCGTTTTTCTTGTTGGAAGGGAGAAGGGAGTGCCTATGAAATATTAAAAGAAAAGCAAATGGTCCCCTGTGTCCTCCTCCGCCAGATCTGCCGTTATACTCATGACATAATATATCGTAAGGCTAGAAGGGTATTGACACCTATCTATTCAACTATCTATCAATATAAACACTATATCTACAGTATATTTATATAAATTTTGTCAGCATGACGATTACAGGGGCGGATCCAGGATTATTTGAAGGGGGGGGGGGCGAACGGTGCCATTTGGATTCAGCTACTTCAAATTCCTATTTCAAGAGGGGAGTATTTGTGTGATTTTTTTTCAGAAATCGAAGGGGGGGTCAGGACCCCTCCCCCTCCCTAAATCCGCCTCTCTGGATTAAGATAAGGGTGCCATGAGATAATAGGGTTATGGTGAGAGGAATAGTGAGTGAGCGTGAGAATAGGCCAGAGGTAAAACGCAGCTTTTCAATAAAGTGGAGATTTAGCAAAATGAATCGGAATGATGTGCTACGGTATTCCATGCTGTACAGTTTATAGTTTTGGAGAGTTCCGGCGTTAATCGGTTTAATTTACCGTCATTTCATCATTTCAAGTAAATCTCCTTGCTGTTTATTTAAGCGAAACGTAACTTTGAGTTATTTCAGTTTTATACGTTACCCGTAATCAATTTGGTTTGAATAGGAAGTCAGGAAGAGGAAATGGGCCACCTTAACATTAGCTTCAAATTAAAACGACAGAAATAGCGAAGCTAGAATAAATGTGTCTGCAGGTCAGTCAGCACTTTTCATTAATATCGTGCTAGGATAGTCTCAACCGACATGAATAATCGTATTTTAGCTCAACGTTTCACAAATTGCAATATTTTCTGTAAGTAAAGGCATGGGAACACGCCTTTGAAGAGGTTCGCATACATTTAAAAAGATACATTTAGGTTTATTTACACAACAAGTATTTAGAATTTTAAAAGAAAAAAAACTCAAGTGGTGATTTTAGATTGGACTAGTTACACAATTCCTGTCATTATTAAAAGAGCTGCCCATGCGGTAAATTGAGGTAAATAAAGCAGTGGATGCTACTACATGTAGGGCTATTGGCGACTAGCGGCTGCTCGATTTTCTTACTAAGCTTATAACTCAGGGATTTTTTTTTTAATTGGGATTATCTTTTTTCTTTATAGCTATTAATATTTCTTTATATTAATATTTGTGGTCCTGATTCACATGAAACTTTATATCAACATTTTTTTATTATTTATTATACCACGTCTAAACGGATTTTTTTTTTCGGATCCGACCGCCAATTCCTCTCAAGAGCCGGAAAATTGTCAATGTGGTACAAAGCACTTCTTTTCTCAACGGCGGATATTTCGGGGTTTGTCCTTGAAGTGATATCTTACTTTCCAGAATCATTTCTCAATGTCATGGATGGCTTAATATACATGTACATGCAAATCATAACATTTTACTTTGGAGACTATTTGTGATTTATTTGAAAAAATAAATGTACAGGAATTTTATCGAAAATTACGCAGAAACTAATATTTCTGGTAGGCATATGTACAATATATTATCATCATATCATAAGTATTGGCAATAAGGACGTTTCTCGCCAACATCATATATCCGTAGAAACATCATCTCTCCACTAGCAAATATTTACACAATCTGAATTATCTGAAAATATTAATTATTGATATCTATGTCATTTGTGCGGAAGTTTAAGAACGTCTTTAAAATGAATCAGTCTCACATTATTTCACAAAAGAAAAAAACTTAATATATATACATGGTCGACACGCTGTATGTACATCACATCTACTGAATATATCGTTGTGTTTTGAATCCGTTTCGTCCTGCAATATATTCTATCGGCTGAGAATTCATAACTTAGATTTTCCATAATATAGTATATAAAGTAAAAAAATGCTGATTGGTTACATAAAGTCTGTTCATTTCAAGATTAGGCTATTCAAAGTTAAAAACGTGTCATCAATTTATGTAAGTTACAGAAAAGTATACATTTAGGTACGTCTTCTATAGTTCCAATGGATTTGTTATCCATGTTCAGTACTCAGGTGCTACTCCCTGTCCGCGGTGAACGGCTTAGGATGGTTGATGGAGCGATGCTTCGCGACATTTTATCCATGCTGTGACCTCTGCTCTTCTCTGAATCCTCGGACGTTTTTGGAAGCCTCATGTTAAGTCCAAAACGCATGTCCGTTAATTGATAATCTTTGATCAGCTGCACTTCTTTCTGACTCAAGTCATCTGCTGCCTCGTCCACAGGAATGATGAAGAGGGCGTGGTCTTTTTTCTCCAACCAGTTAAGTGCGACATAAGCGTCGACAAGCTGAATGATTTCGTCTCCCTCCATGGTTTCATACTCCAGTGCGTCATGTTCACGCAGACCAGCGACGTGGTTTAATAGACGCAGAGCGTTGGCGCAGTGGGATTTGTTCGACCCTATCCAGCGTCTAATGAGCCCTGCCGATGCTTTTCCAACGAATGCTTGGATTGGAGACACGGGGCGTTTGCTCGTTGTTGACATGTCTTTCAAATTCTTGTCAATTGTTGCATAGAAATACAGACACCGGAAAGTAGCGTCGATGTGAATTGTCTCGGACGCGTCGTCTGCTAGGCTCATGATCAAACTGTTCTCATTGTTTGTAAGGTTGGACAATAACATGCGTTTGTTGTTTTCGGCAATTCTAGCTTCATCATTATTGCAACACCACATAGGCGGATTTTTCCTGACGGCAACACTCTGCAAACCATCTAGACGCAGCTCGCACTTTCTCCATTTCGTGACAGGCGCACCTTTTCGTTTGCGATCGTAGAAGGGGATATAGACAGGCGGACATAATTCATTTCGGCGCGGGAGTTTACTGATGACTTCAGGAGAAATGTTGCGGAACATATGCCTGCGGACTTGCAAGGCGCGGATTTGAGGCTCGTCGTTCCAGATAGAGTTTGAAAACAAATCCTGTCCGGAAGGTGTGTCCCAAATAATTTTCCCGCCATTCAGAAGAGCATATTTAACGACAAAATGTCTCCGTGGAAAGAGTTCTCTCAGTTTGTGGTAACTGTCCACGACAAAACCGTCCCCTTCGATCCTCTCCGCCGCCATGACTACGTCATTGATTAGAGGTTGGTGATCAATGTACCTCTTGCTGGGGTATTTTGTCTCCAGCGCTAATTTGGCAACGTCGTGCAACTGGCTTCTACGAAATTCGTCCTGCTTGAAGCTGACGAGATACTCACTAAAATTTGGTTTCAAAGAATCATGCGTCCCCAACATCATATCTTCATGTCCCGTCGCCTTCCTGCGCTCATTTAGAAAATTCGCCACATCATCTATTTCATTCAAGACCTCCAAGTCACCTGTTTCGTCTGCTTCCTTGTACTTTTTCTGTATTTCTTCGTAAAGTTTGAACGTCATTTCTTTCACCATCATGTACATTCGGTTCAGCGGCATGTTTTCAAAATGCCGAATAAAATTTGTGTCCATATTTGTTTCCATTTTGGCTGCGAGAGACAACTTCCAAAAAAAGACGACCTCTATACAGCACGGATCATTGCGAACTGTTAGTGTGTTTGATTGCTGCAACTATAGCAATTACTGACGCGACCACTTCAATATAATCAATTACAATCAATTATTAAGCGAACCCATGATCGAGCGAAACCCTTAATTACCGTTATCGATTCTCCAATCTTCACGCCACCAACTGATTGTTATTTGTATTGTCCAATAACCATGTACGTGAAAGATCAATAAGGAAAATAACAAGAACGGCTGTACAGAATACATTATTTCATTGTCCAGAAAATCTCTTTTCAAATGTATTCACTCATTCCCAATATATAGGACCGTTTACAACAACAGAGAAGTGAAAAAGGAAGCTAAAGATATATTCGCAAATTCTACTTTTTCTGTATCTCTGGTGACAGAAAGTGATAAATGAGTTTTGTGTTAATCATTTTAAATTTTTAAAATTCATGCCTTGCTTGTATAGAAAATGTTCGTATTTAGTAACGAGTATCGTTAGTAACGAGTTTTAAAAATAACAACCCTTTTGGATATTATTCGCACGTTATTACTACTAACAAAAATTAAAGTGCGCTGAAGGGATGGTACGAGATATAAGTTCATTTTACTGGCATAGTTCGTCCTCAACCTCGAGTATTCTTTTCACAATGCCTGGTAACTAAGATTTTGCAAACTACTTTCTGTGAGAACGCAGTTATGCTGCGTTACATGTAAAACATTTGACTGTGCCCTGTCACCATATATCGTCTTGCTAAAAGTGGATGTAACTGAACTGAGGATTGTATTAATGGTTAAAATATTGCAAAAACATCAAACAAAAAAACGACCTACGCTATAAAAGATGTTACGAAGGTTTTTTTTAAATTTTCAATAACCCAGAGACACCGCGAAAGTAGCCTCAATTTATTTATTCATAAACATTCTAGACGTTTTCTGAGACTTCAGACATCTTACTCGCTTCCTGACAAGTTGCAGATTTTCTAGATTTTCTACTTAGTAAAAAGACTACATCGATTGGAGAATGTGAGATGGTGCTGCGAGTTTGAAAGTTTGAATTTAAGTTCATTTATTTTTATTTTTTCGTGGGAGAACAGATTAATCTAGTAATTATTATTTTTACTTTTGAAGTTGCTACACTGATGTTTGTTAAGTTCCACTTGGACAAAATTCTTCCGGTCGCTATATCTTAATAAAATGAAAAAAAGAAAAAGAAAGAAAGAAAGAAGAAACGGTAAATGGACCTGTATATTGAGAATGAGTGATTACATGAATTTCCATTTACCTTTTAAACGTCTTTCTGCATGTAATTACTTCAAATAGTCACTATTACCTAATGTTCTCTCTGTTGCTATTTTAATATGATTCCAAAAAGAATTTATAACATACGACCCATAGAAAACCTATCAGTCTGTTTGACAAAGTGCACGCAGGTGGGGAACCACTTGAATGAACAGATTAAACTTTACAAATATCATCAACGTCGTATGGTTGAAAGGGAGGGTAGCAGCGCAAGCAGAGGTTGCATGGGACAGACCAAAGTGGGGGGAAATCTGAGTCTCGCCCAAGCCCTTTGCTCAATGAGAATCAAATATAACTGGCAAAAAGTTGACGCGCACATATAAATACAGAGAGAACATGGGGAATGGGTGGAGCAAAGTGGTCTTTTTTGATAACCTGCACACCCTTTTGTTGCAAAGGGAGGAGGGATGTTATTTAAAAACAAGGCAGCAAAGCTGTGAAATGTACAGACAAAAAGCAAAAGAAAAGAAGAAAATATGCTTCGTATAAGCTGTGTAATATCATATAGGTTATTTCATCATTTTGGCTTTCTACTTTTTTACTTCTCACCCCAACCCCTGAACCCGTTAAAAGCTAAAAGTATACTTTTTTATTTTGGTTATTAGAGACTCAGTCTTCTGATAAAATGTACAATGTCCTCTTCGTTGTATGCTTTTTGTTGATCTTTTTTAAAATAAAAGACCATTTGGGTAATTGTAGGAGATGTAGGATATCAAAACGTGACTTTTTTTTATTCTATATCCAACTAATTAAAGAAATTGAAAGAAGGAAAGAAAAATTGTAGCTTACCTAGCCATTTCAAAGGAGGGGGTCCTTTCCTGGAAAAGATGACCTTTCACCATGAAACCCCCGTGTTCGACCCCCTCTTTCCGGCTACAGACCTGTTTATTTAGGTAATTAAACAACGCAAAATATCACAGGAGCTGAGGGAGGTTACTCCCTACCCCCCCCCCCCCCCACACACACACACGCGCGCGCGCGCGAAAGTTTTTTTTAACCATGCCAGTTCTGAACTGTGAAAAGGGGAACTATGGAGCCCTGTATGCCATCTTCTTTCAAGCAGGCTGTCATCGTTTCTGTGTGTATACTACACAATTTATCAAGAATGCGTGGGGATGAAGATTTCATACCTCAGGAAGGTGATGATGAAGGCGTCAACATCCCAGTTGCACAAGACGGACAAAGAGGACTGTTATTCAGACGTCTGCTTATTCAGAACCATTTCGCGTAATAACATGGAACTATTCAGCTATTAATAGGATATATATATATATATATATATATATATATATATATATATATATAAACGATTCTCACTCTGCGCTTGTCGATTTGTAAATAAAAACTCAAAACAGGTGATATGTCTTGATAGTGTTATTACTGAAGAATAAATTCTGGTTACGGAGTGAGAATCGTTTTTCAATTCAGCAAACCCAGTTCTCTTTGCTTGTCGATTTGTAAATAAAAAATCAAAACAGGTGATATGTCTTGATAGTGTTATTATTGAAGAATAAATTCTGGTTACAGAGTGAGAATCGTTTATATATATTATATATATATTTATATATATATATATATATATATAAACGATTCTCACTCTGTAACCAGAATTTATTATTTACAAATGATTTTTTATTTACAAATCGACAAGCAAAGAGAACTGGGTTTGCTGAATTGAAAAACGATTCTCACTCCGTAACCAGAATTTATTCTTCAGTAATAACACTATCAAGACATATCACCTGTTTTGAGTTTTTATTTACAAATCGACAAGCGCACATATATATATATATATATATCCGAGTGAGAATCGTTTTTCAATTCAGCAAACTCAGTTCTCTTTGTAGTTTCTTTTCTTTCAATAGGAGAACTCTTTCCTTAATATTCATAATTTCCATTCTCCTGCGATGCTCTCTGCGTCGTAATGTGAGGATTTCGGTCGGTACATCATAATTCGAATCCACACGCTGGGAAGCTGAAACAGAATATTTTGATAAATTCAGTAAAAGTGTAAAAAAAGAAATGAGTAGTGCCATCTAAACCATCTGAACGTAAGGTTTTTGTATATAGAATTATAAAAGTTACTGTATAGTCATAAAAGTTATTAAAAATCTTGAATCGTTCTATTGTTGAATCTATGCTTGTCATAGGTCTTAATATGAGATAAGAATATAGTACTTATCAATATTTAAGAAGAGAATGCCTACATCGAGAAGCTTGTCTGTCGCGCCGTGTGCTCGTCCCCTGGATGGGGCTGTTCTGGCGTGGGGAAGCTTGTCTGTCGCGTTGTGTGCTTGTCCCTGAGACGGGGCTCCTCCGCCGCGGGGAAGCTTGTCTGTCGCGCTGTGTGCTTGTCCCCTGGATGGGGCTGTTCTGGCGTGGGGAAGCTTGTCTGTCGCGCTGTGTGCTTGTCCCTGGGACGGGGCTCCTCCGCCGTGGGGAAGCTTGTCTGTCGCGTTGTGTGCTTGTCCCTGGGACGGGGCTCCTCCGGCGTGGAGATGTGTGATGTTGCTGTTCATCGTTTGCCTCCATTGGCGGCGGATCAACATCGTCTCCGCCAGCTGGCTCAGCTCCCGGTACATCGAGCAGTGCGTCGTCATCGTACGGATTACGCGGAGGGCTATCCACAGCATCGTCTCCGATCACATCTATCACTGCTTGATTTTCTTGACTTAATTCAACCTCTTTTGGCCCCCCTCCAGTCTTTTTTGCAGCTTTTTTAATATTTGCAAATTCTTTCTTTGCTTTTATTTTCGCTCGTTTCCAGAAGTCTTTCACCTGCCTTTCAGTTCTTTTCCCGGCTTGTGGAAAATGTGCTGCTAATCTCGTTAGAATTTCTTTCCACGCCTCATTTTTTCTTTGATTTGATGTGACATCATTTTTCTTTGATTCAATGATGTTGGACTTCTCCTTTATTAGTTCTGAGATGTATCCCTTCTCTTCAGCAGAAAAATTCTCCGCTCTCTTTCGGCTCATTTTCACGTGCTCTTTACTTCTAATTTTTTTCTCATATGAGCTACACAGCTTATCTGCTTCAACGCTAGCGTGTGTCATCTGTTCATTTACGCCTACCTGATTGACACAGTTCAGTGATTTCTTTGTCTATGTATTCCTGTTACTTTCAACAGGAGGTCAAGTACAAGTTAAAACTGGTTTAGCTAAACCTGGTTTTTGGCTTTCCTACACTGTTAGTGAAATGCAATTTAGGTCTTGGGTTAGACCAGGTTTTGCTAGACTAGGTTTTAGCCTTAAACTAGGTTTAGTTAAACCTCCTTTATGAAATCGGCCGGTGGTGTCTATAGGAATGTGTCCTNTATTTGCAAATTCTTTCTTTGCTTTTATTTTCGCTCGTTTCCAGAAGTCTTTCACCTGCCTTTCAGTTCTTTTCCCGGCTTGTGGAAAATGTGCTGCTAATCTCGTTAGAATTTCTTTCCACGCCTCATTTTTTCTTTGATTTGATGTGACATTATTTTTCTTTGATTCAATGATGTTGGACTTCTCCTTTATTAGTTCTGAGATGTATCCCTTCTCTTCAGCAGAAAAATTCTCCGCTCTCTTTCGGCTCATTTTCACGTGCTCTTTACTTCTAATTTTTTTCTCATATGAGCTACCGGTACACAGCTTATCTGCTTCAACGCTAGCGTGTGTCATCTGTTCATTTACGCCTACCTGATTGACACAGTTCAGTGATTTCTTTGTCTATGTATTCCTGTTACTTTCAACAGGAGGTCAAGGACAAGTTAAAACTGGTTTAGCTAAACCTGGTTTTCTGGCTTTCCTACACTGTTAGTGAAATGCAATTTAGGTCTTGGGTTAGACCAGGTTTTGCTAGACTAGGTTTTAGCCTTAAACTAGGTTTAGTTAAACCTCCTTTATGAAATCGGCCGCGAATGTTTCGTCTTTTCCCCCTGCTGTGTGCTTCTGTGAATTCGACTCTTCAATCCATGTGGACTCGTCGCTCTGGGAAATGTACATCGAATAACCAACGCAGAAAAATTAATCGTAAATGGACTGAAATCCAAGCTACTGGCGATGACTTCACCCGTCGATAGAAATTAAGGACAGTAAAATTTTTTTTTTTTGAGGCTGGGGGGGGGACAGGGGGAGGTGTAGGTAAATTGTAAAAGATCTAATCTCATTCTTATTTCTTTTTACAGGACATACATTGTGTAGAAGATGACGAGTGCCTATCATCAAACATAGACTACTTTTCGGATCAACAATTTAAGGTTAGTAAATTTTATTTTTTTGGAGGAGATAGGAAAATTGAAAAAAAAATCTTACCTAGTTTTATTTCTTTTTACAGGACACAAAAGATGATGACAACATTGACTTCACACGTCGATAGAGGTTGAGGTCAGTAAAATTTCTTTTTTTTTCTTTCTTTCTTTTTTTTTTTTTTTTTTTTTTTTTGAGGGGGGNTTGGGGTACTTTTATTTATTTATTTTTTTTTTTTTTTTTTTTTTTTTTTTGAGGGGGGGGGAGGGGACAGGGGGAGGTGTAGGTAAATTGTAAAAGATCTAATCTCATTCTTCTTTCTTTTTACAGGACATAGAAGATGACGAGTGCCTATCATCGAACATAGACTACTCTTCGGATCAACAATTTAAGGTTAGTAAATTTCATTTTTGGATGGGATAGGTAAATTGAAAAAAAATCTAATCTAGTTTTATTTCTTTTCTTTTTACAGGACATATAAGGTGATGAGCAACTCTACACAGACATTAACTTCACACGTCGATATAGATGTTAAGGTTAGTAAATTTTCTTTTTTGGGGGGTGGGTGGGGATGGGGGGTGTAGGTAAATTGAAAAAGATCTAATCATTCCCATTTTTTTACAGGACATAGAAGATGATGAGCGACTCTAACCAGACATTGACTTCATACGTAGATAGAAGTTAAGGTTAGTAAACTTTAAACTTTATTGGGGGGTGGGGACGGGGGGTGTAGGTAAATTGAAAAAAGATCTAATCTCATTCTTTTTTTCTTTTTACAGGACATAGATGAGTGCCTACCAACGAACATTGGCTATTCTTTGGTTCAACAATTTAAGGTTAGTAAATTTCAACTTTTTTGGAGGGGATAGGAAAATTGAAAAAAAAATCTTATCTAGTTTTTTTTTTTTTTTTCAGGACATAGAAGATGATGAGTGCCTCCAATCAGACATTGACTTCATACGTAGATAGAAGTTAAGGTTAGTAAACTTTGAACTTTTTTTTTTTTTTGGGGGGGGGGGAGGGGACGGGGAGGTAGGTAAATTGAAAAAGATCTTATCTATTTTTATTTCTTTTTACAGAACATAGAAGATGATGATGAGTGCCTACCAACGAACATAGACTACTCTTCGGATCAACAATTTAAGGTGAGTAAAATTTATTTTTTTGGAGGGGATAGGAAAATTGAGAAAAAAACTAATCTCGTGATATTTCTCTTTACAGGACATAGAAGATGATGAGTAACTCTACACAGACATTGACTTCACACGTTGATAGAAGTTGAGGTTAGTAAACTTTCTTATTTTTTTGGATGGTGTAGGTAAATTGAAAAAGATCTAATCTGATTCTCATATTTTTTACAGGACATAGAAGATGATGAGTGCCTACCATCGAACATAGACTACTCATCGGATCAACAATTTAAGGTTAGTAAATTTTGATTTTTGAAGATGATAGGAAAATTGAAAAAAAAACCTAATCTAGTTTTCTTTTTACAGGCCATAGAAAATAATGAGTGCCTACCATCGAATATAGACTGCTCTTTGGATCAACAATTTAAGGTTAGTAAATTTTATTTTTTTGGAGGGGATAGGAAAATTGAAAAAAAAACTAATCTAGTGATATTTCTTTTTACAGGACATAGAAGATGATGAGCAACTCTACAGATACAATGACTTCACACATCGATATAGATGTTAAGGTTAGTAAATTTTCTTTTTTTTTATGGGGGAGGGAGGGAAGGTGAATTGAAAATGATATAATCTCATTCTCATTTTTCTTTACAGGACATAGAAGATGATGAGCAACTCTAACCAGACATTGACTTCATACGTCAATAGTAGTTGAGGTAAGTAAACTTTAAAAAATTGTGGGGGGGGGGGGGGGGGTGAGGGGACGGGGGGGGGAGTGTAAGTTAATTGAAAGAGATCTAATCTCATTATTATTTCTTTTCACAGAAAATAGATGATGATGAGTGTCTACCATCGAACATTGACTATTCTTTGGTTCAACAATTTAAGGTTAGTACATTTCAATTTTTTGGAGGGGATAGGTAAATTGAAACAAGGCAGCAAAGCTGTCAAATGTATAGACTAAAAATAGAAAATAACAATGCAAAAAAAAAAGGACACTGTGCATTATGTTTAACTGCACAGTCAACATCAAATTTTAATTATGCAAAAAGGTAATACTGATGAAAGTAAAAGCATAAGGCTTCAGGCCCATGACAGTTCAAGTTCATACTTAGAAAATGCCAGAATGAGAAAAATGAAAATTTTACAAAAAAATGGCATTAATTCAATAAAAAATGATAATCCAATAGAGCTGGTTTTCCAATTTGAGCTGTATGTCAATCCTAAAAATCATTCTTGTAAGTTGAAAAAATAATAAGTAACAGTCTTTTCATATAAATCTTTAATTTCCAGAAAAGTTTACCAATAAAACAGGTTTTTCCAATTGAAGCTGTATTTTAGTCCTATATATCTTTCCTGTAAGTGTGAGAGGAGAAAGTGGCATGGTTTATGGTTAATGGTCACTATGGAGGCAGTGCCCAAAATAGGGCTTTCTTCAATTTTGATGCAATATTACACAATACTTAACAGCATTATGACCATTTTTTATTAATAAAATAAAAGATTCATGGATATTCAGAAAATGTGACTAGCAAAAGTCTACAAGCCCATGGAAGTCCTTCATTACACCTTGAAAATGGCAAATTGTAAACAAAAGATAACAGTACTGTAATGAGTTTACTTTCAGTTTCAACACCTTTTTTACATAAAACAAAATAATCAAGTTACTATCATTTTTATAGGATAAACTAAGAAAATTGCTGACATAGGAAAAATATCAATATCAATTGTCCAATTTGCTCCATTCTGAGATTCTGAACATAGTGAATGATTGAATCTGACAAACTGTTTATTTCCATTTTTGACACTTTATTACACAAAAAATGATAACAGGTTTACCGTCATTTTTATATAATCAACTAACAATATTGTTAAGAAGCAGAAGATGTCAAAACAATACTCTTACATATCTGATTAGTTCCATAATAAGACTGTTAACATGCCTAATTTACAGACTGACACTCAAAGGTCTTCAGGCACATAAGTCGCACCTTAAGAAAAGCACAAAACAATAATGCACAAAATAGGAGACTACCAATTCTGATGCAATAATACATTGTTTAACTGCACTGTCAACATCAAATTTTAATTATGCACAACGGGTAACACCGATGAAAGTAAAAGGCTGTCTTCAGGCCCATTTGCCAGAATGAGAAAAATGAAAATTTCACAAAAACTGCATAAATGTAATAAAAATGATAATCCAATAGAGCTGGTTTTCTAATATGAACTGTATGTCAATCCTAAGAATCATTCTTGTAAGTTTTCTTTCCATAATGTTAATGGTGGCAGTGCACAAAGTAGTGCACAAGTATCAATTTTGATGCAATATTACATAATGATTAACTGTATAAATACCACCAATTTTTAAATATCTACTATTAAAAACATGGACATTAAGAAAATTTGATTACCACTGGGCTTCATGATCAAGGGAGCTGTAAGTCCCACATTGAAAATTTCAATATGTGAAAGATAAAAATTTTTACAAAGAAACTGTATAACTTTCAGAAAATTAACTAATGAGACAGATTTTCAAACTGAAGCTGTATTTCAGTCCTATGTTTCTTTCCTGTAAGTGTGAGAAGAGTAAGTGACATGGTTTTCCTTTCACGGTCACTATGGAGGCAGTGCCAAAAATAGGGTTGTCTTCAATCTTGATGCAATATTACACAATGCTTAACAGCATAATAACCATCATTTTTTAATAAAATTTAATAAAATAAAAGATTCATGGATATTCAGAAAATGTGACTAGCCCATAGAGTTCAGAGTCACACTTTGAAAATCCCCAAATGTAAACAAGAGATAACTGTATTGAAAAGATTTGTTTTTCATTTTCAACACCTTTTTTACATAAAACAAAAGAATCAATTTACTGTCATTTTTATATGATCAATTAAAAAAATGTTGTCAAAGGAAAAATATCAATGGAACAATTTTAAATGTCCAACTTGCTCCATTCTGAGATTCTTAACTTTGTGAAAGATGGAATCTGACAAACTGCAATGATATGAGTTTATTTCCATTTTTGATACTTTATTACAGAATGCATGATAACATCTGTCATTTTTATATCATCAACTAACAATATTGTTAAGAAGCAGAAAATGTCAAAACAACACTTTTACATATCTAATTAGTTCCATAATAAGACTGTTCACATGCCTAAGAATTAAATCTGAAGAAAAATTACACAAAAACTTAAAGATGCATAGAAAGTCAACTTTTTGTCACAAAAACCTACCAAATGCCAGCATATAGTTTCAAGTAGTATAACTAAGAGAATTACCAAAAGGCATTGTTTAATTTTACCTGAAAATGATGTTTGAACCGATTTTTCCGCTAGCATTTTATGCTGTATATCAGTGGGGCAGAAAAGTACATGTAGGTCACAAAAGTAGGTTAAATTTCCAACCAAAAATTTAAAGAAAGGAGCAGTCTCAAGCTCTTTTATGGCTGATCGAGTGATCTATTCAGTTTATCCCTTGGCATGTCTAATTTATTTGAGTCGTATAAGAAACTAGTAGAAGTGGTTTACATGTGTTACTGGAAATCCATGCTCCACCGATGCTTGGTTCGTATGTACCTTTAACTGATCAAGCTTATTTACAAACTTGATCTGTATACTACCGTAGTCAGGGGGATCACTCCTGTGGGTTGCAAGACAAAAGGCTAATTGGTTTTCCTTAAATATGCGTTATCAGTGTTGCATATATGCTAAATAATGAAAAAAAACAGCATAACTTTTGTAAAAAATAGTCCAATCAAGCTGATTTTCAAATTTGACCTACATATTATGAATATTAATCAGTTCTGTAAATTTCAATCCAAAAGGAAAAACAGTTTTCAACTTATCGTGTTATCGGTGTTGCATATATGCTAAAAAGTGAAAAAAACAGCATAACTTTTATAAAAATGGCCTGATAATGCTGATTTTCGAACTTGACCTGCATATTGTGAATATTCATCAGATCTGTAAGTTTCAAGCCAAAAAGTAAAACGGTTTTTCACTTATTGTGTTATCAGTGTTATAAAAATGCTGGAAAAAATGAAAAAACAGCATAACTTCCATAAAAATGGCGTGACCATGCTGATTTTCAAACTTGACATCTGTGTCTGTACATAAAAACAACAGCTTGACTTTTGTAAAAATAGTCCAATCAAGGTGATTTTTAAACTTTACCTATGTATTATGAATATTTATCAGTTCTGTAAGTTTCAATCCAAAAGGAAAATCGGTTTTCCACTTATCCTGTTATCGGTGTTGCATATATGCTAAAAAAAGTGAAAAAAACAGCATAAATTTTATAACAAGGCAGCAAAGCTGTCAAATGTACAGACAAAAAACAGGAAATAACTATGCACAAAATAGGCTACTGTCAATTCTGATGCAAAAGTACATGTTAAAGTATATGTTAAACTGCAAATTCAACATCAAATTTTAATTATGCTCAACAGGTAATAACAATGTAAGTAAAATGTGTAACAAGCATAAGGCTTCAGGCCCATGGGAGTTCAAGTTCACACTTTGAAAATGTATAACTTCCAGAAAAAGAAGCCAATTAGACTACTTTTCCAACTCAG